TCAGGGGTTTGTTATGGACCAATCCTTGTTCGTTGTTTAAGGACCAAGCAAGTGTGCAGGCTTTCAAAACCTGCTTTGCATTTGGGCTTAGTTACTTTTATTGATTCACAACAGTTTAGATGTTGAATTTTCTCTGAAAGCGGTAAGTGGTGCACACTGGGGTCTTACCTAATGTTATTTTTGCAGCAGCTATAAGAAAAGAGGCTACAAGTAGTCCTGATTTAGTGACAGTGAATTACAACAATGATGACAACATAACTTTGCAAGCAATGCCATTATATTCACTTAGCATACATTGCCCTGTGTCAAACAGTAAGAATAGTCACACTATAATAGTGCAATATGAATGCAATATCAGGGGTTTTCAATTCAATGTATAGAATGTGAAGCAAACTACTATGAAGTCGATTCCTCTCCTGTAATCTCAAAAGAGGGTGTTTGATTTCAAGATATGATACATTTTCTAAGCAAATATATGCCCTAAATAAATTTACTTCCTCAGTTAAATAAAATAGGGGCCAGTGATTTTGATGTGGATGAAAAAACTGTTTTGGAACATCCATTGGGTCGCCGGCTCTTTCAGACACAATGGGGTGAATTCTGACCAATTTTTCTAGCTGTTGTCTTAACCCAAGAACCACACTAGGCGACAAATATTTGAAACCTCTTATTCTTCAAAAGAGATGCGGTGGCTCGGTGGCTAAGACACTGAGCTTGTCAATCAGAAAGGTTGGCAGTTCGGTGGTTCGAATCCCTAGCACCGCATAGCAGAGTGAGCTCCTGTTACTTGTCCCAGCTTCTGCCAACCTATGAAAGCATGTAAAAATGCAAGTAGAAAAATAGGGACCACTTTGGCGGGAAGGGAACAGCATTCTGTGCACCTTCAGCGTTTAGTCATGCCAGCCACATGGCCACAGAAATATCTTCAGACAGTACTGGCTCTTCGGCTTTGTAACGGAGATGAGCACCACCCCTTAGAGCTGGAAACAACTAGCTTGTATGTGCAAGGGGAACCTTTACCTTTATTCTTAAAAAAAGAAAGGGTAAAGAAGGAAAGAAGGGGAAAAAATAACACTGTACTTACAGGTTCAGGGGGCTGTTGATTATAGTTTGCAGAAACACTGTCGCTTTGGGACCCAGAGTATCCCTATAGAAAGGCAAAAAAATACATTTATACACCTGTTCTTTCTCCAACCAAGAGAGGGAAGTGTGTGGGAGGGGATTCAGAGGAGACCCACATATGGTTCCCCTCAATGTCATTTGTATGGGAGAGTAAAGTTCTGAACCTCTGGGCGGCTGTGTTTCTCCTAAAATGTTCAATGCATGGGTGAGGCATGCCCTGTGAATGAAACTAATGATTTCCTGCAGGGTCAGTTCCAGCAGTGATGGGCCTTTGGGTGAGCAATATTTGAGGCTTGGTTGTGCCACTTTGGAAGGCGGACAGAAGTTGACCAACCAACTGTCTCTTTGTGAGTGTGATCTCATTTGTCCATATTTCCAACATCTATCAATGTGCATTAAAACAAGAAACACTTTTACTTACTAGGGGTGGGGGTGGAAGTTGTGGCAAGTTATTCTGTAAGAGAAAAACAATAATCACCAATTAACTAATCCTGTCTTAGCCTGACACACACAGTTCATACAGTGATAAATCTATTCATGGAAGGAAACTAAGGGATGGAAACATTTAACTTCGCTAAACATAACCAAAGGGTCTGAAAACTATCGCTGGCCTGGCTTTCCAGTTGATTGGAAACCAAAACCAGACCGCATATTTTAACCCAATATGTTGCAACCTACAAAACTCACATTTGTTATTAAGAGCATGCAAAAATTTTGATCAGAATAGAATCATTGATTTGATTCAGATCGTCAGTCTAATTACCATAATATTTGAAAATCCTTTGGAAAATTGTGGCATTCAATGAGATTGAACAATTAGATTCAGAAAAATGATTCCATTTAGATATTGGTTTACACAGGGTAAGACTGAATCTCTCTAGTGAAGCTTTACAAAGCCCTTTTTGTTAAGTCTAATAGTTAGCAGGACACAAGAGTGACCAACTTAGTCTGGGATTAACCCTCGAGGTTTGAGCCACAGGGTTTTCTCTGCCATCCCATAAGTTACCTTTCCTAAAATTCAGGTTTCCTCTCACCTGGGCATCTGTGCTGAGCACAGAAATCAACAAAGCGGCACCCACGAAGGACAGCTTCATTTTTCTCAGCTTGAGGTTTCCTTCCTCGAATGGGAAAATAACTTAAATATGAATAGATGGATTAAGGATGGATTTATATTGATGTATCACAAGCCAGACTTCCCAAACTAAAGAAACCAATTGTTGAGGCCTTCAAATTACCTTATCAGTTGAGAAAGGTTAGAAGGGTTTATTCATCACGCAAAAGGACCTAGTGCCAACTGAAACATTTCTCTAACGTCTGTCATTTTTCTGATAGCGAACTTGACTTGCAAGAAAATATTGATGAAATGTCACCTCTAATTTATGTGATGACAAGCAAAGTGGATACTTTCTGAAAGGCCATTTGTGGTTTAAAAGCTTTTCCTGGTTTTGTCCTATTCAATTATCTCATCTTAGCCTTTTGGTTATCTTATCTTAATTCCTGTGATTTCTTTTCATTTTCATTGGGGGAAGGGATTTGAGGGAAGAGAGATCTCTTGCTATCTTTCAAGGACCTTGAATGCAGATCTTAGTCACATCTCACCTTAATTGTTGCCATGCAGTTTTCATGGGGCTGCCATTGAGAAGCATATGGAAGCTCCAATTGGTTCAAAATGCAGTGGCCCAGATGGTTTTGTGCAGGCCTAGATGTGCACATGTGACATGTCTCCTGCAGGAGGACCATTGGCTGCCATTTTGCTTCCTGGTCCAATTCAAGGTGCTCGTTGTTATCATGGGAACTGGTTATTTGAAAGGCCATATTTTCCCAGTCACATCTACCCAAACCACCAAAGCAGCAAAGCAGGGAAGGTTATGGCCTCCATCTCCTAAGGAAGTCCACATAGCAGGTCCCAAAAGCAGGTCCATGGTGGCTCTCTCTCTCTCTCTCTGTTTAACATTGTCCCTGCAGAGATAAGATTGCAGAGGTAGTATTCAGCAGATTCTGACCAATTCTGGAGAACCGGTAGCGGAAATTTTGAGTAGTTCGGAGAACTGGTGGTAACCTTCCCCCAGGAGTGGTTAGGGAATGGAGCAGTACCGTTCTCCTGGAGTGGGGTGAGAATGGAGATTTTACAATATCCTTCCCCGACACGTCCACCAAGCCATATTCATTTATTCCTTCATTTGTTTGTTTGTTGTTTGTTTGTTTTGTCATGTTTATGTGGTTTATATTAGGTGGAGACCCTTTGAGAGCTGTATGCAAAGAAACTTCATTTTAATATATACCAATTAGTGACAATACAGTTATTCTAAGTCTAAGTCTTCTAAGTTGTTTCAGAGTCCACTACAACCTTTAATAAATGAGCAAGTAAATAAATGTACCTAGTAACTAAATATGATTTCTATTTCAATAAATATAGAGAAGTGACCTCAAAATGGATAAAAAGTTATTTTGGGTTTTCAGCCTGAACCCCAATTGTTTTGGATGCTGTATGAGTGAATTATATGAAAGGTATCCTCAGGATGTAGTCCAAAACATCAGGATGGTGGCTAGGGGGACCAAAACTCCATCTATTTGCCTTTAAAAAGCAGGCAAAATTTTGATCACACTGTCATGGCTTCCATCTTGAATCTTTTTAAACTATAGACATCACATTGTTCAATTGAAATTAGAATTTTTGTATGTTATAAAATAAAATAAAAACTTTAAAAAAAAGAAAATACAAAGGCAAGGGAGATCATATTTTCAAGATACTGTGGAATAGAGTTTCCAAAAATAACATTGTCCTTGTAGTCAGTGTTCCCCTACAAAAACTCAAAGATACATTTCAAGCAAGGTCTTTCTGCAATAAAGAGAAGGAAGAGTCTGGGAGGGAATTCTAAATTCTTAATATTCTTCCTATAAGAAGAGAAATCAAGTCAATTGAAAAACAGCACAAAACAGCTAACAAAATCTCTTTTTCAGAGAATCCCAAGTACAAAAACCGACACTGCAGAAAATGAGTCTGCATAGGCACACCAATCTTGCATTTACGCACCATGCATAGTCAAGTTAAAGACTAATGAAAATAAAGTATGTGCTAAATTCAAGTTTTCATCCTAGCTCTCCTTGGGGGTGGGGTCAATTAACATGTTATGCAAATCCAATCTGGATGACTTCTTTAAGATTCAATGCAGAGCACAAACCTGATTTATTGTATCCTATCAGTCAGTCAAACTCACACCCACACGCTCCATGGTGTGGACTGACTGATACAGGAAACACTTAATACAGAATTTGGAAATTTCTGAAGGGCTCGTAATCAAATGTTCTCATTTATCAGATTCAACTAAACCCTGATGTGACCCTAATGTCACTATGATATTGCTAAAGTGATAATTTTCAGAGCACAATGAGACAACAATGTCTCACAATGAGACAATGAGAGACAACACTCTGTAATGATGCTGCATATATTTATTTGTATGTATTCTTGTAGAGTTTCCAGTGTTCACAATTAAGAGAACCTGCCCTCAAATCAACAGAAAGAAATATGATTGCTGGAGCCCTTCTTAGATGAAAGAGACAATTCCCCTTTGATCAATGATTAGAAAGAAATTATGGAAGCTGGGAACAGAAAGTGGGCTCTGGTTTTACTCTCAGGAAATGTAGTTCGTAGATCTAAAAAATAGAAGATGAGTGAACGAGAAATATTTGACATAAAAACAGTAGGCAATTGATTTTTACTCATTCCATAATTGAAGGCAGCTAATATTTCAGATTTTTGTGTTCAGCCTCCCTTTACCCTCAGACAGTAACCCAAATAATCTACGTATCAGAAAGCAAGTTATCATAAATCCTGGCAAAATCTACAATATGTAAATCTTTACTAAAACGAAGAGTGGCTTCCATACTCACTGGGTTACATTTTCCTAGTGAGATACTTTGACTTCTACTTCCTGGAAAAATAAAAACCAAAAAGTAATTCAGTGCTAAATAACTGGAATGTTCATTCTATTATGGATATTACTATTAAAAGTGCATTGTTTAATTGTTACAATAGACATGATGGGGATTAATTATATTCCATTGTTTGGTAAATTGATGCAACTCTAGAATATCCCAAAGAGCAGTTTTAGACAATTCCAAAAGAGGCAGGAGATATAAATGAGGCAATACACAATCAACATGACTCTATGCCTAACCAATCATGGAAGAATAAGCATATGGGTATCAATATTTAATTCCTTAATAAATATATCCTTATATTGCTTAAAAGAGCTGACTTGTAATCCCTAAAGAAAATGGAAGTAAATTTTTAGACCATAGCAATCACAGCATTAATATGGGCTGTCCTCACTTACCAATGATAATTGGAATGAGAAACTCTGATGCTAAACAATGCATACTAAGGCACATCATCAATGAGCATACAGACTCACAACAACAGTTGTGGCAGTTTCTGCCATGGTTAGATGAATTCCATATAGTTCTAGCATCCCATAATCACATGACTGCCATTTAACGCCTCCTACCATTTTCCCCACAGACTATACTTGTCAGAAGATGCTAACAAAGGTCACAAATGATGATTGTGTGTCTAAACGATGCTACAATATCTATAACTATGTGGACCTTTGAACAATCATTGAGAAAGTATATGTGAAACAAGGATTTCCTGCATTTTGTTTTCTGCTTTTGGGTTTTGGCTCCTGGTAATGGCTTGTACTAAACCGTGTAGTTTTGTTTGCATGGTTTTTCAGTTTTGCCATTGGCTCCTTCCTGAGGCTGAGGGAGGGGGAGTGGACTGGCCCAAAGACACCCAGCTAGCTTCATGCCTAAGGCAGAACTAAAACTCACAGTTTCCTAGTTTTTAGTTCAGTGTTTTAACCCAAGTGACTCTCTCCCTGTACACCATTATCTTTCCCCCAGTCAACTAGACTGAACCAAAGATATTTCCCCAGAAATAGAAAGTAAAATTGCTCACTAGCTCAGTTATATAGGAGCCTCAGTGGCACAGTGGTTAGAGTGCAGTACTGCAGGCTACACCTGCTGCCTGCTAGCTGCATGCAATTTGGCAGATCAAATCTCACCAAGCTCAAGGTTGACTCAGCCTTCCATCCTTCCGAGGTGGGTAAAACGAGGACCCAAATTGCTGGGGGCAATTATGCTGACTCTGTAAACAACTTAGAGAGGGCTGTCTAAGTGCTATTGCTATATCCTTTGGAGGCTAAAAGAATAGATGCTTATCAACATACCCTGAAATATCATTTCATCAGACATCATTTGTTATACAAGGACAAAGTCCAGCAATTACTGGTATTTTAACAGGCTGTATTAAAAATGTTCCCAAAAACATAGCAACAAATGGAGCTTTTGGCTTGGTATTCAAGGACTGCAAAGGAAAAATGAAATGCTGCTCATACTTTAGAGCAGGGCTGTCCAACCTTGGCCCCTTGAAGCCTGGCGGACTTCAACTCCCAGAATTCCCCAGCCAGCTTTGCTGGCTGGG